ATATAATTTATTTATTTATTTTTTAGTCGATTCCTTCTCACCTGTTTTTTATGTCACCTTGTGAAATGTATGCAAATTGTTACAATATATCTATAAGGCCCCTTTTTATATTCTTTAATTTAGATGCAGTTGGATTGGACTGCCGCATGTCATGATGGAAAAAAGTTATAAGATCCCAATGACCTTCTTGCATCAATTTGGAATGCTTTAGCCGGCCATTAGAACCACTTTATACATTATTTTTAATGCAGCTTAATGTGTTATATAGGATATTTTTTTAATGTAGCATTTTATAGAAATACATTATTTATATATTGCATAGTGATTTATTTATAAAGAAAATAAAGCAAAAATGGTGATGCAATGAAGGCGGAAGAAATTAATATTTCCACTTTTTATTTTGTAGACTTCTGAATGGAATGACCTCTTCATACTCCGAGTAGGATGGCGTTGCTTGAAGCGTTGGCTTGTTCATTGCTTTGTTGTCTTGCAGCTGCAATGAATGGCACAGTGTGACTTATTTGAGATAAAACATAAAACAAAATTGAGAACTATATCATTCACACATACATTCATTTCACATAACAATCACATTCATTTTTGTGATCCATTGGTGCCAGGTCTGAGTAAAAAAAATATATGAAATATGGCCTCTCCTGCCTTCTACCCTATGTGATTGGGAATCTTTCTCAGCCACAAGATGGTGCTGTATTCAAAGAATATGACCTATAGCCCTGGGTGCCAACCTGCAGCCAGAGGGCCGAGTGCCAACCTGCAGCCAGAGGGCCCTTTGTCACATTGCGTGGCCCACAGGGCCCTTGAAGATAGTAGTCTGTGTTTTGCTACTTACTTAAGCCAGTGGAGAAAAAGTATTCTTTGGACTATTAGTTGATAGTGTTCTATTTTTGGCCTTTTTTCTTCACATTATCTTACTTTTTTCTGTGATGTTCATATCTTTTTACATTTAATGTTTTTTTTTCTCTTATCTTTTTTTTTTTTTAAAGAATATATTTTTCTTTATTTGATTACTTTTTTAAATCAACATCCAAGTTATACGAAAATGACAATAGCACCTAAGTCCAACAACTATTACTATGGTTATTTGGTAATTTCAGATGGCCTCTTATCTTTTATTATATTTTCTTGATTTAAACTTGCTGAAAATAATATCAAAGGTGTCACAATTTTGAAGTGCATTTCCACTTTTGCAGCCAAATAGGGAAACAAAATATCTACTTTGTATTTGTTACATTGTATCATTGATGTAGCATAACCTTCAGAAAAAAATACAAAATTGCTGCTTTTAATTTTAGTTGCTGAAAAAATCTTACTTGTCTTAGATTCCTTTTTCTATGTATGGTTAAAGAAGAACTATGAAGTGAGTGATTTCCACTCATCCTCATAGTTATAGTGACAAAGAACCTGTCACAGGTCGGCTCTATCGATCGGGAAGTGAGCAAAAACATGCACCAATCTGCTCACTTCCCGATCGTCTCCCTGCAGTGAGCGGTGACTGTCAGTCACCGCTCCCCACAGGGATTCCCCCTCCCCTCGCCGATCCTCCAGTACTGAGTGGAGGAACGAAGGTGGGGGGGGCACAGCTGGCTCTGCCTCTAGATAGGCAGCTGGATGGATCTCGACAGTATTGTCGGGATCCGTCCTGGCTACAGCACTCTCAGTATATAGCTCGCGATTTACTGAGATGTGGGTCATGGGAAGAGGTTAGTGTATGTCCTCCTGTGACCCTAAAGAGAATTATGTGGAAAAAACACTTACCCCATAGTTCTCTTTTTAGGAGGGGGCTGGTAGGGGCTGGGGAGTCATGTTTATCATGGCTAGCCCCATCTGTAAATATCTCATTGCTTGGGTTGTACATTGTCTGTCAATGCACTTTAAATAAAATTGTCCCCTAATTGCATATTGCAAGCCATTATACAGATTAGAAGCTTCCTATAGATTCCTATGTTTAAACCTCATCCAAAGAAATAACCTGAAAGGTAATAAATAAATAAATACATAAATAAATAAAACAAAATAAGAAAGCTAAAATACCATAAATAAATCTTCAAAATGTTCCTCAAGCAAATTTCCCATCAAAAAGCAAAACTCAGAGTTTCTAGTTTAACCTAATGTAGCTGATGGCCAAACTGATAATTTTACAACAAAATCAAATCACAGCTCTCAACCCTACTGATATATGGTGGAAACCTGTGGTAACTTCATTCAAATGGTAATGATTGTAGGCCATATAATAATGTTTTTAGCTTGGGTTAACCCTAAAGAGACTCTGCCACCAACCCAGGCCTTTTAACTTAACTTTAACTAGGGATGTTCATCTTAATAAGCATGGGTTGGTGATAGGGTCTCATGTGAACATGGGTGAGGCAGCTTCTGCAATGCAAAAGATCTCCACAGTTGGATACCCTACTTAAATGTCCACCTGACTCTTATCTAATAAAGTTGTATCTGGACTATTAAAATTGGTGTTGCTCTTCAATTTATACATCTACTATGTCATCTCTGGCCAGGAACATCTGCATTAACAGTGTTTGCAGACTATGTAAGGCTTCCCAAACCCTTTGCCAGGACCTTTGCTCTTGCCAGGACTGGGGACGGATGCAACTGCATGTGGCTGGAACACAAAGACTGCATAGTGTCCAAAATGGTAATTTTCAAATACAGCCTACCATATGCTTATGAAAGTACTTTCACTGGAGAAGTTTATCTTAATAGGCATGGGTTGGTGACAGGGTCTCTTTACAAAATGTAACTACAAGAGCTCTTAGGATGTTACCTGTATTTGTTCATAGTTCGGGCATCTGTTGTGTGTCTGCAATGCTGCATAAGGACTTTCTGGAGAAGGTTTTGGGTGATTGGGGACCTAGAAAATTCAAGGTATAAGTTAGTAGACAACAAAGGTATGGCCAACTTCTGCTTAGTCTTTATGACTCTGTGTCACAGATCAGCTGCAGAGCTGATCTGTGTCTCACTGTTTGCATGTGTCCTTACCTTTAGCTGCTATCGGTCTGCTGGTACCTGTGGTTCCACAAGCATGTTCTCTCCTCTTGCTGCACTGTGTTAGCAGCTAGGGGTGTCATCCGATTCACCTGAGGGTTAATATACCTTCCTCCCTGCTACTTCCTGTCCTGCCTCCTAGCCCTTTTCCTATTTAAATCCTGTGCAGACTTGCATCGGGTTGCTTGAGCAACACTTGTAACTGAGCCCCTTCTGTGCATTTGTTCCTGACCTGATTTCCCGTGATTATCTGGATCTCCTTTTCCTCCATCCATCCATCCCTGCCTGCACTGTGTCTTCGGGTACTCTCCATGCAAGCAGGGTGAACCTGGGGGTCGTGACCTGGGGTCAGTACGCAGTTAAGTCCAAACTTCCGTGAGGGGGTCCCTGGCAGAACACCGGCTGGCCCTTAGACTCCACGCCCTGGGGGATCCCATGCCACCTGCTCGCCTGGGAACTCACAGCCTTAGTACTGTGACACTCTGCCCTCAAGATACTAAGCAAATACAACAGTACATGAGGTGGCTCAACAGCAGTGCATATGTTAGGTGCCAAGTTTCTTTCGTTTTTACAGAGTATCCTAGGATTTTGTCCCCAAAACCATTGGGTTGCCTTCTGTCTTGGTCATGGTTTGCTTTTTATTATTGTGCGGGCCAGAAAGAGAATGAAAATCCTAAATTTGCAGTTGAAAAGGGAAACCTTGGGGATGATTGTTATTTTGGGAACGAAAGAAGAAAGGATTTCCCTCACTTGAAAAGATTTGTTCATACTTTCTGTAGTGTCTATAGGAAAATAATTCAGGAGATATTTTCCCAATTGGATACATATAACTAAAAAAGGGGGCTGTACCCATTCCCTACTCTGTGAAAAATGAAATAATAAAATGGCTTTAGATATGATTTGTTCCCTAAATGACTGAGTTCTGATTTATTTCTGAACTTTTCATCGTAAAATAAACTACAAAAGGCAAAAATATTTAAAGCATTTGTGCCTTAAAGGACAAATACTGACCTGAATATTCATGTAGATATGGGTATTTGCAGAGGCTTCTTCAGCTGCCGGTCTTGGTGGCCTTGAAGCTCTTTTCTTTCTGTGAACAGAAATTAGCTGCCGTATTTAATATAATACAGGCTAAAACTGTGCAAAGTGTGCGCAATACTTTCTAAGTCAGCATGGCACATGTTTTCTCATAATTGGTTACCGCACAAGTGCAGAGGAGTAAGCCATTGCTTTTACCATGCAGGAGAAAGCATCAAGTTCACTGTAATCCCTTTCCAAGCAGCATAAGCTCATCTTTCCTTCACTTAGTCACAAGGCATTGAAATAGCTATGGAGTTGCTTATGTCATAGCTCACACCTGACTATGGGCTCTCCCCATGTGGTGCTTGGTGACTAACCCAACACAAAGCAACTCACATGCTTCTCCATGTCTGGAATTATTTTGTTGCTTCCAGTAGCTGAACATAGCAGTAGGGGAGCAAAGGAAAGGTGAGGGTATTCTATTGGGGAGGGAGGGAATTGAAGTGAACCTGCTGCTTTGACCTGCATGGGCAAAATACCAGATTGAATTAAGGGAAGTCATTAATAAGGAAGCATAAATGCCAATGTTAGCCTCCTCTTTTGAAAATCTAGTTTCCTGATTGTCACACTGATCCAGTGGCTTCAGTAGTTTCTATGCCACTGATTTGGATTAGCTTTGCAGAACAGGGGTTCTGACTTCTCTCTGACTTTGAATAATGGAAGAGCCATTACTGTCATGCTCTGATTTATACATCATTAGCTGGGGGGGTTGTTCTAGCTCACTTTACCTTAGAAAGATCGGTTGGATGAACTAGTGTGGTTTTAATTAAACATTAATGTTTTTAGTTTTCCTTCCTTCTAATCAGTCAATGACCTATCTAGAGTTACATTTGAGGGAGTACCCCTGCCCCAAATCTTTACTGAGCAGCTTTCAGCTCCTTGTGTTCTCTCATCAGCAATTTATAAAGCTGTATACCCTGTTAATGTGGCCCTTTCTATGGCTGTGCAGGGTGCAGAAAAAGGGTCACCAAGCTCCCAGCATCCCTATTATTATTATTATTATTCAGGACCTATATAGTGCCAACAGTTTCTGCGGCGCTTTACAAAAAATTGGGGAGACAGCACAGTTACAATAACATTTCAGTACAATAAGGTTAGGAAGGCCCTGCATGTGAGAGTTGATGGGTTTCCTCCCATATTCCAAAGACAATGGAGAACTATGAGGTGAGTGCTTTTCACTCACCTCATAGTTCTAGCCGACCTGTGACAATGAGACTGTCACAGGTCGGCTCAGTAGATCGAGAGGTGAGTGAACATATACCGGCGTTCGCTCACCTCTCGATCCTGTCACGGCTCTCTACCTACAGCTCGCGGTATACTGAGCCTAGGGTGATGGGAGGACACTAGTTTGTTTCCTCCCGTTACCCTAAGGAGAACTATGGGGAAAAGTCTTAACCCCATAGTTCTCCTTTAATTGGCTCCTGTCTAAATTGGCCCTCGTAAGTATGCATATGATATTGTGTGCTTAGATTTTAAGCTTGTGGGCACGGACTGATGTGAATGTGCACTATGTTAAGCGCTGCGTAAAATTGTCAGCGCTATATAAATACCAATAATAATAATAACTGGACTAGGGAGTACCAGAGGATGGGAGACACATATACTCCCCTTTCCACGTTGCTTGTCTACCTGGATTGGGAAGCTCCATAATGACTTTTTGGTACTAACACTGAGCTGAGGACTCCACCACTCACATAGGACAGAGCTGGGCCAATCACATGAGAAATTGATTTTCACATGGGAGAGGAGGAGATAATTACATGAGAATCACCCATACTCATAGGTTTTGGGTATGTCACTTCTCTCCTGGCAGCTAAATAGAGGGTCTGCATTGCAAAGCAAGCATTAGTATGTTATGACGGGGGGGAGTAAATTACTTTACCTCTGAAAAATTCATAGTACTTACCTATACCATATCAGAGTGACTACTGCCAATATCAGAGTGACTACTATCAATAACACAACAGCTGTCACCACTCCTCCCATGTGTGACCTTCGTGAAGACTTACAGTCAATACCTAATAAAAAGAAATCGAGCTATACATGTACACCATATTGACACATTTTGGTTATTATTAAATTGGGACAACAACCAAAACTAAAGAGGAGGTGAGTAAACATCTCAAAAACAGAGATTTAGATAGCAGTAAAGAAATGGTAGGCTCTGCTTGGACATTGGGCTGTTCTGCTTGGACATTGGGCTGCCTTACTGATAGACTTGGTAGGCAGCCCAGGTAACTGAAGGCGCACACACAGCATGCTGACAATACTGCTTCTAATAGTGAGGTAATGGCTTATTGCTGCCAGCCTGCTACATGGAGCAATGATCTGCAGAATAATGTTCTTCTGCTTCCTGGCCAAGATTGGCCTAGATTTTTAAGGTAACGTTCACTTTACCCGATGTGCAGTATGGTGGCTCCAGGTCCCACTTAGCAAACATCTCATATTGCTTGCTGGAGAAAGCTCATTATTTGACTACAACTTCCTAGTTAACCACTGAGCCACCTCTCCCAATTGCACACTTTAATGTTTGCCAGTGGGACTGTCTATCGCATAAACTGACTTGGCAAGCAGCCACTGGCAATGCTTGCCTTTCGGACCTGGCACCATCTTGCACAGTATAACGAGGTGCAGGTCCACTTTAATATATAGTTGTTCAATGTGGATAGCAAGAGGAAGCATTAGAACCTTTGTCATATTTATATCTATATCCCTGTTGCAAGGATTTCAATACAATACAATGTACTTACAAAGCAGTGTGATTGGTTTAGATTTTGTCTCCCCGACCTTGTTACCAGCCACACAATAATACTGTCCTGATTTGTCTTCTGTCATCCTATTGATGTAAAGGGTTATAAATGCATGATCGGTGTGGGATGTCTGATTGTTCTTGTACCAAGTATATTTGGTAATATTTGGGTTTCCGTAACCCTGACAAGTCAGTGCAACGTTTTCTCCTTTCCTCACATGACCAGTCTCATGGGTGCTTCGGACAGACACCATTTTTGGAGGATCTAGGAAAAAAAAAAGATACCATTATGCTCAGCAGATTAATTGAAAGTAGACTTAAACCCTACCTGAATGATATGCTGTTTGCTAAAGCACCATGTATCATAAAAAACTCCCTTTTCGTGAAATGCATTTTCAGATTTTGTCTTATGCCTTGTTGTGCCAAATTGGACCATACCTGTGCAATATGTATAAGCATGGCTAAAATCTAATACATGACTAGCTGAGACTCGATAGCCACAGTCACAATGCTCTCCATCTACTCTAGAAAGACCTATATCTTGCTTTATAGTAGATGGTGCTGATACATTTTTGGCTTTCACTACTTCTAATAAATGACACCTGTGCCACTTCAAGTTAAGTACTTCCTAATACCTATTGATTTGGTTTCAAATGTAATCTAAGTGGGTTAATTACAGTCGTTTGATTCCTAGATCCTAATGGAAGACAGTAGCCTCTGATTTAAAGTTCCTGTTCTTAAATTGGAAGAAAGCCAAATAACTTTTCTCATTTACTCAACTGTTGATGTACAACTTCCGTTAAATAGTTTTTTTTTTCAATTTCTCTGTAGAGTGGGGAAGGGTTATCCCCTATTTTTTCAAAATCTTTCTACTGCTTGTGGGGAAATTTCCCTCTGATTCTGTTCTGAAGACTGTTGTTACTGGGACAGAAAGAAAGGAACAGTCTTAAACTTTAGAGTAATCACCAGTGTAACGATCGCGGCTGCGCTCCACCGTGGAACGCAAGCCCCGGGACGGAAGTAGAGGAGCCGATGCGTTCCAGCGTGGAACGCATCGGCCCCTATGACGTCGGCAGCTCCTCCCACACTCCTCTCCTATAAAAGGCTGACAGAAAGATCAGTATGGCGTTCCACTATTGCCAGTGAACGCCAGCTGACAACCAGAGATCCCCTTCCTGGACCATTGGACCTGTTACCTGGAAGAACCCTCTTTGTGCTAGGACATCTAATAGCAAGTATTGCCTAGTCTGAGACAGCCTGTCCCAGATAGAGCTCTCTGAAGTCATTACTTTTGATCTCATGCAACTGCTGTATGGACTTCCTCATTACTATCTGAGCCACACCATTTAAAGGGGAAGTGCTGATATTTCTTTTGTGTGATGCTGTGCTGAATAAAACTCCTGACTTAAACCCCTGTCCTAGAAAGTTGTCTTCTTTACAAAATCAAAGACTTACCCAATTGTACGCATGGCCTGCCTCCAGGTTCTTATTTTGTGGATTAGGGAGCCTGAGCTGAGCAGCCCCAAATAGAGTTAAGTGAGAAACTAGTCAACCAGCTGGAAGTCTCACCACATGGATCAGGACACTAACGGAGTGTCCAGCACAGGATATTAGGATTTCAAGAAAAGGGTCAATTGTAAATGGTGGCAAATAAAAACAGGATATGAGTTGGAGGTCTGTGCAAGAAGGTCCACAAACCATGCCTCAAAGTCAAACAGTAGAGTAGGACAAGAGTTTTAGTTTAGAGTAGGTTTCTGACCAGGAACTCATCATCTAAAGTTACGTCTGGTAACCAGATTGCGTAGTATAGTGCACATTTACAGATCAACAGCCAATCGAAATGCATGATAACACATTAGGGACAAGGTTTAGGAGAAGAGAACAGAAGATGCGGGGACATCGCTGCGGACCACTGGACCTGCACCAACCATCAGGAGAAAACTTGCTGGCCATCATACAAGTGAGAGACAACTTTACCATGGTGTGCAGTGTGACATTCTATCACAATAAGTGGAGATCGCACTGAGCATTGTACGCACAAGGAGCCGGACCTGGCCAGGAGGATTTTGAAGAAGAGCATTTGTGTCACCAGGCAGATTGCACAGTGAAGTTCTTGGCTCCTCCTTCCTTCTGTTGGCTTATTTTATGTTATATTATATTTGAATAACAGTACTGCAATATTTCAAAGTTACTTACATAATATGTTGAGCTTCAGAATTCCTTCTCTGTTAGAATACTCTGCAGAACATGTCAGGAATTTTGAGTTGTCCTCTGAGTCTGCATTGTATTTTATTACTGAAGTGGTCTCCCAATCTCCAGTTGGCAGCAATCTGTTGTGTGTTATGGCAGTCAGGTTCCTAAAGTTCCATCTGAGTATTGGTGGGTTACCAGGACATGTGTGTGTGGTACCACAAGTGAATAAATAGTTATTTCCTTCTGTCATTTCTTCAGGACCAGATACTGTAATAGGTTCTGGAAAGCCTGTAAAAGATATGAGCAGGAACAAGATATGAGCAGGAAAAGCTAGTAGCAAGTATAAGTTTATCTATTACATTAGCATGTTGAACCAATACAGACACCAGGGAGGGATAAGGAAGGAATCAAGCTGGTTGGGGGAAGAAAGGGAGGACGGCAAGAATGAAGAGAAGGAAAAACAAGGAGGGAAAGAAGAGAAATCCATAGTAAATATGTTTCATGTATTAAGCCCAACTTCCAGTTCAGGCATCCGACTTTAATCCCCCCTTCCTAGAAGGCTCCCCAAGCTGTATGTTTTACTATTGTGATGCCCTTTAAGGGGGCAGGACCATGACATCATAAATTCTTAGTATGGCCTTAGTTTTTCAGACTGAATTATGTCCCGCTTTATTCAACACGGAAGATTCTGGACCTCTTATGGTGAAAAAGTGAGTACTGCAGGGGACAGCTCCAAATTGAAAGAGAGTATTGCAACTGGATTTTTTTTATTTTGTACGCTGCATGGGATCCCATTTTGTTTATTTTTTGAAATGGTTGAAGTTCAGGTTTTAATCAGTCTAAATAAGCAACAACCCTTAATTTATTAATTAGGCAATGTGATAAATATAAACTGGTGTTATAGCTCCTATTTAAAATACTGGTAATGTCTGTGCTAGCCAGGCACAAATAAAAAAGCCATAGGTGCCTACGATGGGCTCAGTGTCTTATGATGAATTATATTTTCTTACATGGAAATTGCATTTAAAAGGAACATGGGAGCATATAAATATAAACACTGACTAGTTTTTTTTTAAAGTTGCAGCCTCTGGGGTCTCCTATTCTGACTTCATAACCCAACAAATTGCTAGACTTGAAGAAGGCAAGCAACATGGGAGTTCAGGTAGTAAATTCCCTCATCAAGGTAGCAGCCCCTTAAGCCTGCTGTACATGACTCAAATTTTGACTGATTCCTGCTGAATTGGCCAAGATTCAAGCGTTGGGTAGCCCGGCAAACGACACCTGGTTTGATAAAAGTTAATATATTAAAATTGAGTGAGCTGGGTGGAAAATAATTGGTCAAACAGTGACTGCACTAAAATCTACACATGCATGGCTCACCTTAGTATTCACCTTAAAAAATTTCCAAATCTTTTCACAGATGATCGATTCCAATGAGTTCCTCTGGATTGACTTAGAACAATGGGTTTTTATATTGAAGCACAACTATGGGTTCACCTCCCCAGTCAAAACCCCACTTCTCCCTGGATGCCCCACTACATTTTTTTTGTCAATCTCATACTTATCTGATGTCTTCAGACTGATCACGACACAAAGGTTTCTCTCCCAGCGGTAGGCCATCCTGGATTATACAGAGAAGTGCACTAACATCATTACATTCTCTGCTTAATTTTTACTGTGAATGAAGGGTGCCATGGTCACACCCCCTCAGCAGACAGGTCCAATATGCCCCCCATTCCCAGACTCTCCCCATAAGGTCAGCCAGCATCCCTACTTAATCCTCATGAAAATCCCCCATGAATGTGATATTGTCCATGCAGATTTCCTTTGCAATTTGATCTGTATTCAGCTTAGACTTTTCTACTTACCCGAAATGTAAAGATAAACAGAATTCCCCTTTTCTACTTCTGATGTTGGTGGATCAGAGTCAATATGGGCAAAGTAGTCTCCAACATCTGCAATGTTCAACTTATCAATCTTCACAGTACAGTCACCCTTGGCCAGATCACCCACTAAAGACACACGTCCCAAAAATGAACTCGAATTCTTGATGTTATAGATTTCTTTCTGGTTCCTATTTTTATACTGGAGCCCTTTGATGATTGGCTTTGGCCCAGTATAGGTGAACTTGCATGAGATGACAGCACAGGAACCTTCCAAAGCCCTTACGATTTTGGGGAATTCAAATTTCTGGGCTTCTACTGATTTCATCATATGATCTGGAATAGAACAAAACATGCAGTTAACAATCCAACAGAAAGCTTTTATTAAAGTCTGAACACTAGCACATTGAAGCCTAATCATCGTCAAAATAGCCAGGCAATTGTCTTTCTCAAATGGAAGTCAAATATGGCAACCTACAGCTTTCTAGGTATTCTTTGAAAGTGGGTCAGTTCTTAAGTATTCTGTTTTTTAATATATCTCTTAGAATTGCTAAGCCTTATTCATTTTGTCTATAATGCATGTCTCCGCATGACAGTGAGTGGTTGATCCAATCTCCTTATGGATTATGCCATATTCAGAGACATGTTTTCCCTTAAAAAAAACAACCTTTTATTGTTTCTGTTTGATCCTGATCTGTGAGCTCTCTCAGACCAAAATGACTCAAATATTTACAGCTTTAGAACAACTTCTACTGCTCAGGTCATCTCGGAAATATCTAGATGTTGGAAATCACAGCTAGCAGTTGGAACACAGATTTACCGGACAACTAAAACAAACAGCCTTCTTAAATTGGGTACTTAAAACCCAAAATATGTTGGTGCCTTTCTATTCCTATTTGTTTTAACACAAAGATATTATATACGCTCAGAGTTTCCTTCTGGTGCTCCTCACTTAGAACTACATGGGGTACTATCTGATAGGCCTGACCATCCGGTCTCCCACAAGTCAAGAATCCTTAACTAGATCTGATCATCTTGCTAAACTTTTCAAACATAGTCTGAGGAAATATCATCTACCTAGTGTTTCAGTGCCATCCTACATTCCCATTGACACTTTATCCATTCCTAAACTTACAATATGTAGACAATTCTGATATTTAGCCCTTCAAAAAGATTCTATAGCCTTGGTCTACATGCTCATATTTTTTACCTTTTAGTAGAAGTCCTAGCAGTAGTCCCGTGACCAGATGCATGGTTGATGGATCCATCAATCTTGTCTGTGTCCTGCTTACTCTGAGAAAGCTTCCTCATAAGTGTTTAGACTGTTTTCTATCATGGCAAGGAAATGGGTTGCTGCAATATTGCTGATTGCTCCATAGTTTTGCATACGTGTCTTGATGAACCACAAGTTTATGGATGAGCAGAAAATAAACCGGAACATAAAATAAAAAAAAGGATAGAAGTAGAACTTAAAAAGGTAAATTTCCCATACTTTATACATTGATCTTCCTGTATGTTATTGTTTTTATGCATTCTGTATGTATATATAAAATAAGCATTCATGGTACCATAAAGGTATATTTATATATTGGTGTTTCCATTGTGATATTCAAGGGAATTGAGGATCACAAGATCACAACAAGAACACAGGGTACCTTGGATTTTAAATAAAGTCCTGTTTATTGAACATCAAATATGATTCTTCCATAAAAAAAGGGGCTTTCTTCAACAAAACAGATATACACAAAGCACCCAGTTCTTTACGTGCAACATACAAAGACAAGGCTCACAAGTCAATAGAGTTTTTTGGTCTGGTCATGCACAGCGTCAGCACCAATTCAGAGATGATTGGAAGATCTACAGCCCAATGATACACAAATAAGATACATTTTTGTTAATGATTAAGGTGCTTGAATGCAGGGGCCTAACTAGAAATCACAGGGCCCCATAGCAAAATTTTATATGGGGCCCCGTGATTGCTAGTTATGCCACTTGCAGAGCCCACCATAGACTGTCTATGGTGGGCTCTGCAAGGTTTCAGTTAGGCTGCACGCCTCTTACCTGTCAGCGTTGGTCACCTCCGTGGTCGCCGCCGCCGGGCCCCTGCCTCCTTTTCCGTCCCCGGGCTCTGCCTCCTTCTATCAATGGGCTCCGCCTCCTCTTACATCACTGGCCCCACCTGCTCTTAGATCGCTGGCCAGTGATGTGAGAGAAGGCGGGGTAGCTGTTAGGCAGGTCCCGCCTCCTTCTTTACTGCAAACGCCGGTGTAACCGGCCAATTCTGCCGCATCTGCTGTCTGTCACTGACACAGCTCCGCAGCGGCTGTGAGGGGGAATGTTCTCCTTCACAGCTGCTGCTGAGCTATGTCAGAGACGCCATAGCGGCCAGGCATCAGAGGGATGCCTGGCCGGGCCCCATAGCGGCCGCCTGGGTCGCTATGGCGATTGTTACGCCACTGCTTGAATGTATTTTTAAGATGTAACTCCTGAGTTCAGTGTCACTATAAATATCCTTTAAAAGTTTTAAATTCAAAAATGGAAAATAAAAAGTTGTGCTATGAGAAGGCAGGGAAAAATATGGCCATTATTACTATTATATCTGCACCTGAGATTGGTCACATTACAGGAAATATCTCATTGGGTTCGGAGTGAAAACATCTTACTTGTGTGTCTCATAACACAGCTAATGTTGAGTAAACAAGTTGTGAAACTGGAAGATTTCCCATAAAGAAATCCACTAAGCGTTAATTGCTCAAGTCATAGCAATTAAACGCTTCCTTTAATGGTACTGAGGAGAGCAAACCAAAACACTGTTGCAAGAAGCCGAAGAAAAGCAGCATGTAAGGAAGCTCGTTCCCACCGGCTGCGGCCCAATGCAATCATAAAGCGACAACGATGCAATGTGCCTTATGTACTACAGCTTCCGTTCACACCAACACACTGAATTGGTATATGCTGAAGGAAAAATGGACATTGCATTTTTATTTGCAGTGCAGCACATTACAATCAGAGCATAAAATTACACTGATGTTTTTATTACAAAAAGAAAAAACACAACACGTTGAGCCCTGTGAACAGGGCCGGATTTCCCACAAGGCCACCGAGGCCGGGCCTCGGGGCAGCAGGCAGTAGAGGGGCAGCAGGGGTGTGGAATTCCTATTTTCCGGTCGGGGTAGTATTTGCATTTTTTTGTGTGCGCATCGGACCTCCCTGTTGCCATACACACCCAGCTGACATCATTTTTTGTGGGTGTGACTAATAGGCAACAGCAGGTATATAATGACTGCTCTCCCCTCTCCATTTTGGTCATACTACAAATTGGATGGACACTTATGGCAAATGAAAGATGCAGATGATGATCTAAATCTCAGGTACTTATGGGCTTTTTATAGCTATATCCACATCGCTGCTTAAAACCAGATACGTTTAGTAATTACTGACCACATATGCTTTACTAGGTCACCATCAGGGCAGGCGACTACTTTACAAACAATTCAGGCGGTTTTCCTAATAAAACTACTGGTCACAGCCATATATGTGGAGGCCCAACTGATTTCTACATCTATACTTTTATACCTTTGTACAAGCTCCTTTGCAACATACGTCCTGGTAGGTTTGTTTGCTGTTTTAAACATATTTAATAGCTTAACGGATTGCTCTTTTAGATGCACATGAGATAATGAGATGCACATGAGATAATGAGATGCACATGAGATAATGCTGAGATTACATTGAGCATTTCTGCTCTTGTCTGCTATGATAGGATTGGGGATGATTCTTGCTGTGTGTGCCTGGACTCCCATCTGGTTGATTTGTTGCATCACTTCTCCAACCTGTGTAATGATTTAATTTCATTTTCTATCTGTTTTCGAGCCATGATGTAAGAGAAATTTGTGAACCACACCGTAATGTATATATTCTAACTTGGCTGAAAATCAGCATATCAATGGTATCAATGTTTACATGTTAAGAGTTACTCATAATGCTTGTCTTTACATTATGCTGTATGCCCATAAGCAGCGGTGGTACAGCGGAACCCAAAGAGAAAGAGTTGAGCACTACCCCATGGAAACATATCTTTAATTATCATGGTTACATACTAATGTTATCACATAGAAATGACTTGGTTTACTATCTATTGTATACCAGTTGAGGAGGTGCAGGTTCATGATAGGAATACAATTTCAATTTTTTTGTAAATAAGACTTTATATGTTGAGGATTTTAACCTTGCTATATATTTTTAACAAACAATAAAATATATATTTCTTTATATGTACATTGAAGTGGTCATGGTGCTGCCTAAAAAGTCAGTTTTCTCTGTTCTTTCTTATCCAGTCCAAAATAATATTCACACCGAAAAAAGGAGTGTGTTAGAATAAATCACTAACATATATATTTTTCCCACGGAGGGATCCATTGAAAGCCTATTGCAAGCTAAAAAAAACCACCAGACACCACCATACTCATTGATTTTAAAGCATTTTAACAAAATGTGCAAAAATTTGTATAAAAAAGCCTGTATAGGTTTTTCATACCTAAACCGTGGTGGCAGCCGTTGTCTGGACTGGAAAAATAAATATGTGTATAACAAAAAAAAATATGAAGTGGTTTACCGCTTTTCTCATTACCTAAGGAAGAAGTGGTGAACCACTTTGAAACCAGTTGCAATACAAATCTTTAGTACGATATACTGTGTGGCTTTCACAGGAGCCCTGGTGAGAAAAATAGAGATGTATTTCTTTGAATACACAGCTCAGTGTATATTCTAGAACAGACAAGCAAGCATGTTTTATTGCAGAAGAGGCACAGAGTGTATTTTCTGCAATAAAGAATTTGCCTGTCCGCATTCATTTTTTTTTGTAGTTTAGTTCCTCTTTAAGAGCGTAAAACAGCTACAGAGCTCTCCGTTATTAGAAGCATTTGTTCACATACGGAGCTCATAGACAGGGTGCCTTAAAAACTCGATGCCAGCCATTTGATGGGACAGTTACAAATAGACCTCGGGGTTTCTCTATGAATCTCAGAGCCAAAAGTTGTCCTCAACATAAATGAAGGTAAGCGAGGCGGCAAATGTGCTTCTTCTTTAATAACTGGGGCACCCAGATGCAGCCTCCCCCTTGTGAATTAGTATGGGGTAGTTGTTACCCCTACTCACTCACAAAACAGTAACATTGTAAATAAACACACAACACTTTATACAAAGTCCTTTATTTGAAAAAACAAAAAAACCCAACACAACACAGTTTTTTGACAATTCCTTTATTAAAAAGAAATATGTCCATCAATGTAAGCCAAAGGTCAATCACGTTGTCCAACAGTGTAGATCCACATCACTCATGATGGATGACGGGTACTGACTCGCCGAAAGTCAAAATACCTGACGCGGCCATTCCCAACAAACTTTTGCTGCAAAATAACAGCTCTGACCTGAATGTTAACAAAGGGGTGGAGCGCGTTGTGATGTCATGGGACTTGTTCCTCCCATTTGTTGACATTCGGGAGCAGAGCTTTGAATGATAGTATCTCTGCTCCTGAATGCTATTCCGAAGCAGAACTATCATAATGGGTCCCTGGAGTGTGATATTTGTAACCATTCTTGGAGTATCCCCGCTGAGAATTCGTCCGGAGACTATCCCTAACCTAGAGGAGAAGTTGTGTATGCCAAGAGAATTGGCTCACAATGCAAAGAGAATTCCACATTGAGTCTCATGCCCATTCTTCCCAACACCTCCGAGATATCTGTATGGAAAATAAAGAGGAAGATGTTATAAAGACTTATTATGATGGCTGTATCAAGTATAAGAACAGAAATAATCTGCGACTTTAAGGTCACTCGTCGGTTAACAAATTATCAGCAAAAGTCTCTCATTTCAAGGAGGAACTACCAATTTCTGAAGAATCGGAATTAATCTTTTTCAGCGAGAAATCTTGAAAATGTTTTAAGGAAATACAGATTTGTAGATAAAAATGTATGCATTTAGAAAAAAAATTATGTGTGATCTCTATCTCATCGATGGGCCAACAAGTTAGGCTGAATGATATTTTAAAAATATTTACTTACTTTGCACATGAGCATTGAGCTGTACAAAACTAGGATAGTGTACAATGGTGCATCAAAGTCACAATGATGACCAGGATAGAGGAGACTAAGGAAATACTTCCTCCTGCCTACAGCAGACTGATGCCATCATCTCAGCATAGGCTAAGTATCTTTTTGGAATCCAATGGTGGATTTTTCATGATAAAAGGTG